ACACATTCTCACTTTTTTTGTTTTTCCACTCAAAGATCACAAATAATCATTAGTAAACAATCTAATGACCGAAAAAGAGAGGATCAAAGGATGAAAAATAAAATTCTAAAAAAAAGTGTTCCACTGAAAACTCACCCAGACACGAGTCCCAAGGATGGTTAATACTCTCTGTGCACCGCTGGTTTCTTCCTTCTTTTGGTAACTTTTTCAAACTTCACTTTTTATCTACCACCTTACATACTTTTTTCACCTGGTTATCATCAAAACTCCCAAGCTTCTCCACCGGAAAATGCAATCTGGCCAGACTCAGAACGGTGTGCTTGGTTTCTTTACGTAGCTCTACCACTGTTAAGCTGGTTTCAAGTGCGTATGCATCTGGAAAACAAACGAAGTGGTTAAATTACTCTGTTTAAGAGAAAATTATCTCTCCACCGTTGGATTACTCTCTGGAGTCCTTTCTAAGGGGGTAGAAATTTTTCAAACCAGACTAATCCACTATACGGATTTCTACTGGGTAAACAAGACTTAAAGTCATTCTGCTAAACTGCAAATTTGAGTAGAAGATTTACACCAAGCTGAAAGAGATCTGGAGTTCTCTACATCTCAAAAAGAAACTTGAGGTAGCTCTAACCGTACAAATTAGCATCCAAAAAGCTCCGGAGTTACAACTCCCTGGTGGAACCACCTTGTAACCATACTCAACGAAGAGAAACCTAAAAACTAGACTAATCCCCTCTACGGATTCACCCCAACTTCTGTGTAGGTGCTAAGATACCTAAAGCCAGAAATGAATAGAAGACTAACATCAGTTGAGAAAGGGAAAGGCTTGGCTAGTCCAGAGGAGCCTCCAAGAGCACCTAGAGTGAAAGTACCTGATTTTGACAAGGCAGAACTGGTTCATAACCACAAGCTTATGCTGGTCGGGAGAATCACCAACCCTAAGATCCAGAAAATGTGGGCTCTCCTCCCATTCTTATCTGACCACTGGAAAGTCAGCACCTGACCTGTGGGAGA